ACTCTGAAACATGTGGGGTTGCTATGGGTCAGAATGGACTTAATAGTAACGGTTGATTGGTTTGTTATGTTTTCAGTGAAACAGAAAGTGAAGTTATCTCTAGGCATTAAAGATCAGATGGGCTGTTCAATGGAACAGTGAGGAATAGTGTAGGAAAATAAGTAAAGATGAGAAAACCAAACAAACCAAAATGCCATCGAGTCCATTCAGACTCACAGTGACCCACTTTGGGTTTCCGAGGGGGTAAATCTTTACAGAAGTGGATTGTCCAGTCTTCCTTCCATGGAATGGCTGGTGGGCTTGAACCACCAACTTTCTGGTTAGCAGTCAAATGCCTTACACACTACACCACCACAGCTCCTTATAAAGATGAGTAGAGTCACTAATTGTTATTGGACACTGAGTGGACATTAGAGAAATTTAATTTGAAAGGAGATAAAGAGAAGAGAGGTAGCCTGGGTGGATTTGGTAAAGAAAGGGATGGTCACTTACAGAACCACCAACCCCAAGGTTCCACCTGGAACTTTGGTATAACTCTGTCTTTAATTCAGAATGTTTGTTGCTGGGGACCACTGGATAAAGACAGTCCTTCTTCTTGCATGCTACTTCATTTTCAAAAGATTACCCTGTACACATGTTTAAATGCAGCTTTAATTGATTACCTGAATCATCAATACTTTAGTCAGTTCAATGAAATCTTTAAGGCAGGAAGTCTGTCTAGGTAAAATAATCTTGAGATAATACATTTTGAAGTAAGCAGTCATCCTGAGTTTTCTGAGTGCTTGAGAGACGAGACAAATAATGAAAAGCAAACCTCTGGTTCAAGGCATATCAGTTCATCATTGTCTTAAATAACATGGGAGCAAATTAAAAGCCTGGAGCCACCTGCCCCCCAGAATTCTGACTTTTACATAACAAAGGACTCTACATAACAAAAGGAGTCCTCCTTTTGCAAAATGACAAATCTAAGATATTCAAAGGAACTAAACATTCCCCAAGATTCTGCTTCCTCTGAATGACTCACTTTCACAGAACATGCTGAGATGCTGAGTCTTTTAAGCTACAATGACTCAGGTAGTTTGTGTTTGGCTTGCCTGCAGCCCCAAGCACTGTGTCACTCAGAGCACAGAAGTACTCAGCCGAGTCACTCCAATGGGCTGATGGCTTCTTCAAGTGAAAGGAGTTTTCAGTCTTCCTAAATTCAGCCTCGAAACCTTTAATGCCCGAAACAAAACTGTTTCCTATTGTGTACTTCAGGAGAAGCTGGAGGCCTTGGTCTGGGTGTTGAATATACCAAAAGAGATATGGTGGAACAGAAGATGAGTAGTTGCACCTCAGCTCCAGAGGGGCCTCTTCAGAGACAGTGACGTGGACATCAGGCTGAGTCACAAACTGGGCTCCAGTTCCTCCTGCAACATCAATGCTATGTCAGTGAATTCAAGTAAGACAGAGTCTCTATTCAGAGACAAACCAGAGCAGTGCTCCGTTTGTTGACAAGGAGGTAAAATAAAAGATACTCACTCAGAGACAGGAGAACCCCAAGCATCAAGATGAGCAACGAGGTCATGGCCTAGCAGTGAGAAAGCAGTTCCCTTCTGTGAGATTCCTTACAAACAAATAAAAATCTGATGACTGGGGATCTTGAACCTAGGTGCTGTGAGGTTGAGAATGAGTGATAGAGATTTACACTTCTTCTTAGGGAAGCTAGAGAGACTGTTAGGAAAAGATGTTTTCTTGGCACATGTGTCTGCCTTCTGGTGTCTGAGATTCCTCGCATGCCACTATCTACAAAATGCTCAGTCAGAGCACCTCCTTAAACTACGGGGAAGAAAGGCTTTTGTGAGGTTATTCTGATCTTTTACAGAAAAGACATTTTCAATTTATGCAACATTGCCCTCCAGGGGCCAAAGAGACAGCTAAGGAGAAACTTAGAATTTTTGTGAATCTTGCGCCACTTCCTTCTTGCCCTTCTAGGGCTGAATTTCAAAGCATCATGATCATGTACAGAGGAGAAATTAGGTTTTATAAGCTGTGAAACTTATAAAATGAAGTCATTTCAACAAAACCAAAGAAGCATGGAAACAATTAGTCCAAGGGACTAGTGGACCATGCAAACCTCAGTCTATATGATCATAAGACCAGAAGAACTAGATGGTGCCTGGCTATCACTGTAAACCACTCAGAAAGGGCTCAGTGTAGGAGATGCTGGATAAAGTGGGAGAAGAGTGTGGAAAAAAACTCAAAATCATTGGGGGGGGGGGAAAGACCAGGTTTACTAGTCTGATAGAGCCTGGTGAAACTCCCAAGGCTGTAACTCTTAGTTACCCTTCAGGTCTGGAATTGAACTCACTCCTGTGGCTTCCAGCCAAACAACAGACAGGCATATAGGTGAACACTTACACCATGTAGATATACTACTTAGAACAATCAATCATGAGAGAACAGAAAGTCGTTATTCGCAGAGGGAGATAGCTCAAGGGTAGGAAAGAAGAACACAGGAAAGGAGTACCCACAGGGAGGAAGTGGGAGGAGAGCTGTTACATTGTGGGGTTTGCAGTCAACATCACGAAATAAAATACATATGAACTTCTGTATGGAAAATGAATTTGCTTTGTAAATTTTCACCCAAATCACAATAAAAATTTAAACATAAATAAAATGAGGTCATTTAACAAACAAACAAAAAAAAAAAACGCACAAGATTATGAGTTAAAAATTGGGTACAAAAGCATATTTGTTTGGAACAAGAAGGAAACTCACAACTAATTACATACTTTTAAAAACAAATATCTCAAACATCATAAAATCCCAAAAAGTTGTATGTTATTACTTATTTGCCTAACACACTTTTATAATATTTTTGTTTCTAAACCTTTAACATGCTTTTTCATATGGCAATGAATTTGTAATATTTCCTCTAGATAGCTCACTCCTAGCATGGTGAATTTTTTCTTTTTTTTTAATCATAGGGCTTTACATGATACTTCAGTTAAACTCCCCAGAAAAAAAGTATGGCTCCATGTCCACCTATGCTAGAAAATGCCCAGCTGGAAAACCTAGACTTCTACTTTTTCAAAGCTATAAGAAGGTGCCCCCAAGCCCTCACTCGTGTGGTGCCAGAAAAGGTCAAGTAGAAAGCCAGGATTTTAATTCTCATCAGCTGTAATGAGCTCCCCCACCTTGGAGGATCGGTTGAAACCTTGTGCGGAGCCTGGGCTTCCACAACTGGAAGGAGTAATGAGGTTCCCATTCCCCTCTTCTCAGTGTGATGCCAGAGGATGCCTAGTGGCAGTCACCATCACCCAGTAGTAACAAGTCCATCCCCACCATAGTGTTAGGAAAGAACACATGAGGAGACAAAACTCCAACACCCCCTCACTACAACAGTAGTGAGAAGTCACTACTGTGTCAACAAAGGCTGAATGGAGAAGCTGGATTTCTACCTCTACCAGGCAGTAATTAGGCAGCATACCTCTTCCACTGGCAGAGCAACATCGGGAAAAAAACACCTAAAACAAAAAAGTTTAAGCAAGGTCCACAGTTTTATAATATACATCATAACTAGAATCAGAAAATCTCAACTTGAGTAAGAAGATAACAGACGCCAAAAACACAATGATAAAGATATTGAAAATTATTGGGCAATGACTTTAAAACAGCCATCAAAAATGTTCAAAGAGCAATTATGAATATGTTTAAAAGAAACTAAAAAAATAGAAGGTATGAGCAAAGAATTCTAAGATATGAAGAGGAAGAGGATGAAAATGAAAATAGAACATAGCAAAATTTGTAAGACACCCCTAGAACAGCACTGAGAGGAAGATGTGTAACACTAAATACATACAGTAGGAAAGAGGAAAAATCTCCAATCAATAACCCAAGCTTCCACCCAAGAACCTAGGAAAAGAAGAGAAAAATAAACCCAAAGTACACAGTAGGAAATAATAAAAAATGAGAGCAGAAATCAATAAAAATGAAATAAAAAATAATGGAAATCATTAAAAAAAGAGCTATTTCTTTAAAAAGACTGTAAAATTGACAAGGCAGACAAAGGAAAAAAGAAGACACATATTACCAATATCAGGAATGTAACAGAGATATTTATACAGATGCTGCAGACATCAAAAAGGATAATGAGGGAATACTTGAAACAACTCTATACACTGAAATTTGACTACTTAGAGGAAAAGGACCAATTCCCTGAAAAGCACAAGCTACCATAATTCATCAATATGAAATACATAATGTGAATATCCTCGTTCTTACTTTCCTCATGTTGCTGTAACAGATATATCATAAGTGGGTGATTTTAAAGAACAGCAATGAATCTTCTCACAGTTCTGTGGACTAAAAATCCAAATCAGGCTCTCAGCCATGTATATTCCTTCCTGTAGGTAGTCCTGGTGTTCCTTGATCCCTTAATTTATAGATGATCCTCACATGGAATCTATCTTTGCCCATATATGTGTGTGTCTCTGTTTCTATGCTGTTCTTTATGTAACTCGGTAGTAATTAGGGTTAGGATCTACCATACACTGGTATGACCTCAACAGATTAATTACATTATGCTAGATTGTGTTAGGGAAGGTGATACTTGCACTGCATTACATTACATTACATTACACTATATTACTTTACATTATATCCACAGGTGTAGGGGTTATGATTTCAACACAGTTTGGGGAAACACATGTCAATCCATAATATTCAAACCTTTGGTTCCTCAAAATTAATCGCATGCAAAACTCATTCATGCTATCACATCATCCCTCCAAAAATCTTAACCCATTCCAGCATCAAATCCAAATTCTTATCTTCAAAATCAAGTGTGGGTGAGACGCTAGATGTGTTCCACCCTGGGGCAAAATTCCTTTCCATCAGTGGAACTGTGAAACCTAGAGTACAAGTGGAATAGATAGAGTAGATACTCCCATTCCAAATGGGAGAAATTGAAGGGAAAGAAGAGTCATGAGTACCAAGCAAGTCCGCAACCAAGCACAGAAAATTTTATTAGCTCTCAAGTCTAAAAATAATCCTGTTTTCTAGGTACATCTCCGCAATGGCTCCACCTTCCAGGTTCTAGGCATTGGCTACAATCTCTAGACACTGGGCAGAGGTCCTTGAGCCCTGAGTGGAGGCCTCACCTTCCCGACCCAGTGGTATGCCACACCTTTGGCTTAGGGCAGCCCCATTCTCCTAGTTCACTTAAGAGGTGACTCTATCCCCTTTGACCCCAAATGACTCCACTTTCCTTGCCTAGTTTTTCTAAAACTCATAAAAACAATTAGAATTGGCACTGTGAGGCTTATTGCCCCACCTCATTCTCCTACTTTTGAGTTGGAAAAACCTGATCATAATCATCATACATTCTTCCAAGTGATATACAAGCTATGCATGTATTTACAAAGAGATTTTGCAAAGGAGAAAAATATACATATAAGTAGACATATATAAGAAATGGCCTCACGTCCTCAACTTTGGGTGGTGGCCTCATGCCCTTGGCTTAAAAAGAAGAATCACATGATAATATTAATCAATTAGAAAAACAAAAAAATTGTCAAAGCTAAACTCCCAATCATGATAAAAACTCTCAAAATAAACAAAAAAAGGAACAGAGGGAAACTTTTTGAACTTGATAAAGAGCATTTATAAAATAGCCTACAACTAACATTATACTAAGGAGCTCTGGTGGTGCAGTGGTTAAAGCATTGGACTAGTAACCTAGAGGTTGGCAATTTGAACCACCAGCCACTCCACAGGAGAAAGATGAGGCAGTCTACTTCCAGAAAGATTTACAGCCTTGGAAACTCTGTAGGGCAGTTCTACTCTGTCCTGTAGTGACACTATGAGTGCAGTGGGTTTTGATCAACATTATACTTAATGGTAAAAAACTCAATGTTTTGTCACTAACATCAGGAATCAGACAGGCATATCCATTTTCAGAACTCTTATTTAACATACTGTCAGAAGTTCTAGTCAGTTCAATGATTGCTTCTATCTGAAGGGATCATCACTTGTCTATCGGTTTGTCATACTACGGTGGCTTGCTTGTTGTTGTGATGCTGGAAGCTATGTCACCGGTATTTCAAATACCAGCAGGGTTATCCATGGTGGACGGGCTTCAGTGGAGCTTCCAGACTAAGCCAGGGTAGGAAGAAGGACATGGCCAGTGAAAACCTTACAAATAGCAGTGGAACATTGTCTGACATAGTGCCAGAAGAAGAGACCCTCAAGTTGGAAGGCACTAAAAATACAATTGGATAAGAGATGCTTCTTCAAAGTACAGTCAACCTGAATGATGTAGATGGAGCAAAGATTTCAGGACCTTCATTTGCTGACATGACATGACATGACTCCAAATGAGAAGAAATAGCTGCAAACATCCATTAATAATTGGAACATGCAATTATAATGTATGATTCCAGGAAAATTGAAAGTTAAAAAAAATTAATGGACCACTTAAAGGTAGATATCCTAGGTATTAGGGAACTGAAACGGATTGGTATTGCTCACTTTGAGTAGGAAAAGCACATGGTTTACTATGCCAGGAATGACTAATCAAAAAAG